AGGCGGGTTAAAAAATACTTTTAATTAATTAATTGGAAGAAAGGCAGGATATAAATAAAACAAATTATTTGCTTTTATTTGCAGCCTCTGTCTTCACGTGCCTTGCGATTGCGCTGGGATTTTATAGATTCTGGAAATAAGCAGCCAGTGTAAAAGAATGAGGAGGGAACCCAGCCTTTCTGGATTCAACTTGCAAGTGTGTCTTGGATAACACTCTCCGAGAGGTACTCTCAGAGCTTCTGTGTTGATATTGGTCTTTAACTCACAATGAGTGGCTCTCATCAATGGGTCTAATAGATCAAGCAGTGCATGCTTGGTTCTGATTTGGGCTTGTTTGGAGTTCCTACATCCTGGAGCCTAGATGGACCATTTGAAAAGAAGAGAGATGTCGGAGGACTAAAAAGCTGTGGTGGTCACCAGGAGTATGCAAATGCCTCTACGCTTATCCAGTTGTCTTCTCCTCCAGCGCTTCCCTATGGGTCGTCGTGTCACCCTCAGTGGAGCCCCTTCTCCCATTTGTGCTCACATGCAACAACAGAAAGCCGTGGGCTTGTCAGGAAACCAGAAACCGATGCCTTGGGGAAGGTTCAAAGGACGGCTTCCTCCCAAAATGTCATATCACAAAATGTATTGCGGATGTTTCTGCAAAGCAGAGCATATAAAGCTGCTTTATACTTTTCGTCCATCTGGTCCATAATTGTCTACTTTGAGGGTCATACCTGCCGAGCATCTCAGGTACGGGTCTTTCCAAAACCTAGGGATGACATTGGGGCCTTCTGCATGCAAACCATGAGAGATTCCCTTGGGATGTGTATGGGAGGGGTGACCAAGGGTCATGCCTTCTTTTCCCTGGGCTTTAACCATCCCGCACAAGACTTAACCATCCGGCACAAGGAGCCTCGTGGCACAGTGGTTAAACCGCTGTACTGCAGCCAAAACTGCTCACGACCTGGGGTTCAATCCCAGGTAGCGGCTCAACGTTGACTCAACCTGCTATCCTTCCGAGATCGGTAAAATGAGTACCCAGCTCGCTGGGGGAGCAATGTGTAGCCTGCATAACTAACTTGTAAACTGCCCAGAGAGTGCTTGAAGCGCTATGGGGCAGTATATAAGCAGCACGCTTTGCTTTGCTTTGCTTTGCTTTGCTTTGTGTCCAGACCTTTTATGTCCTTGGTCAGCTGCTTTTGGACATGTTCCATTCTTCTTAAACTGCGGTGACAGTACCAGACACCATATTGCGGATAAGAGCTAACGAAAGCAGAACAAAGTAGCCAGTATTCTTTCCCTTGACCTGCAGAGTATACAGTGGTGCCTCGCATAGCGATGTTAATCGGTGTGGCAAAAAGCGCCACTAACCAAAAACATCGCTATGCGATTTTAAAAACCCCCCTTGAAATGCCTTGAAACCCCTTCAATGCGTTCCAATGGGGAAAAAACTTACCTTTAAGCGAAAATCTTCCATACGGCATTCATTTTCGCTGCTCAGTAAGCGAGGAATCCGTCCCAAAAAAGAGCGGGCGGTCATTTTTTTTTGGCGGCCATTTTGGAACCACCAATCAACAAAAAAGAGCGGGCGGCCATTTTTTTTCCAGCGGCTATTTTGGAACCACTGATCAGCTATTGGGAAAAAATCGCTATGCGAAAATCAGTAAGCAAAACAACTTACCGATCATCGCAAAGCGATTTTTGAGCATTCAAAACATCGTTATGCAATCGCTTTTGCGATCGCAAAAACCTAATCGCTATCCGGATTTGTTGTTAAATGTGGCGCTCGTTAAGCAAGGCACCACTGTGCTTCTATTGGTGCAACATAGTATTGCATTTGGGTTTTTTGCTGCTGCATCACCGTTAAGCAAGGCACCACTGTACTTCTATTGGTGCAACACAGTATTGCATTTGGGTTTTTTGCTGCTGCATCACTCTGTTGGCTCTTGATGAGCTTGTAGCCTACTAAGACCCCTGAACAATTTTCACACGTACCACTGCCAAGCCAGCTGCCATCAGGACACAGGACACCTCATCGATGCTCTTCTTAAATTCGGGTGAGAAGTTTTGCTTTCTGGCCCTATTCTCCTTGCCGTGGTCTTCATAATCTCTGTGAAGTTGCTCTGTGCATTTTGAGAGAGGCCTATACAGGTGCCAGAGACTGTTGGAATTTAGTAGTGTTGTCTTAAAACACTTCACCACAAAGGACTGTAGCTCTGTCAGGCTGCAGCTGCAAAAGATAATAAGCCACACCACAACACACCCTTCCCTCGAGACCACTTCCGTTGTGGTGTTATAGGACATAGTCAGTAGTACTTGAAGCTAAGGGCTCTTCCTGACCTACCTTGATTTCCAAAACCAGGGAGTAGCAAAGAGATGTTTGAGAAAAGCATTTTAAAAGGCAATCAAACTGACTAAGAATCAATACCATTGTGAGTTTCGCAACTTAGAAACAAGGTGAGTGGGGCAGCAGATTTTAAAGGTAAAGGTTCCCCTTGACATTTAGTCCAGTCATGTCCGTCTCTAGGGCACAGTGCTCATCCCCATTTCCAAGCCGTAGAGCCAGCATTTTGTCTGAAGACAGTTTCTGTGGTCACGTGGATAGACACAGAACGCCATTACCTTCCCACCGTGGTGGCACCTATTTATCTACACACATTTACATGCTTTCGAACGGCTAGGTTGGCAGGAGCTCGAACAAGCGACAGGAGCTCACTCCACCACATGGATTCAATCTTATGACTGCTGGTCTTCCAACCTTGCAGCACAGAGGCTTCTGCGGTTTAACCCACAGAGTCACCACATCCCTGTGATGCCGAGAAACAGTTTCCCCCCTTCTCGCTGAATACTTGGCCCCCAGGGACATCCAGTGGTACTCAGCAGTGGGAGACAAAGGAAAGATAAAAAGTATTCCTTCACACCGTGCACAGTTGAATCTGCTACTCCAAGAGATACTGGTATCTACAACTGAGCAATGATGCTCTTAAACATACAATATATTCTTGGTCACTCCACATGACTCGAGAATTGTCTGTTCCTGCTGCACAATATTGTGCCCGTGCTGACAGCAGGAAAAACGATGCCAAACTTTATATATCAAAGGGCAGCCTGAAGGTTGACAACACAAATATCAGCAGTTAAGATGATCTCTTGTGCTTGCTATCTTCTTAGTAGAAAGCACAAGAGATCATATTAACTGCTGATAACTGCAAGAAGACACCAAGCAGGGGGAAATTCCAGAAACTGACTCCTTTTTTCCCTAACAACTGCTTCTCATACAAACACATATTTTTCAGCAAGTTCTCTTTTTTCCCAGTAAGTTCTCTTTTTACTCTTTAAAGAAGATTTGTGTTTTCAGTCTATTTCTGTGACCCTTTTCTCCAAATATCTTGCTCCCTTGCATACCAATGTATTATAACAAAGTGGCTGTTTTCCCCATTTGAAAAGCCTTTTTTGAGGATAAGTATTTCAACCCCTGCAATTTGGCTTCTTTCCAAATTAAAAGTGAGTGGGGTCACCCATTCTCTTGCAAAATTAAGCAAGATCAGTATTTATAATTTATGTGATCTGCTTTAAATCCTGGGTTGTTTCAAGATCACCTGTTTCCCATCAATTTTACTTTTAAAAATTATGTCAAAAATACTTTTTCCAAAGTTTTTACAGCAACAGGCTGCCTGCTATACCTGTACCAAATTTTACACTGACCCCAGTTACAAAGCTATAATGTTTACTTATGGCTGCCCCCATTTCTGGAATTGTCTTGTAGAATTTTGATTTGCTTTTCTGCACAACAACTTAGCTATAATATTCTGAAGAAAAATTCATTGATCAGTCCTACTAACGTCTGTACATAGAATGAAAGGAGCCTTTCAGGCAGCAAAACAAAATCTTGTGATGGCCCTGTGAAGAGGTCCTTTTATCTGCCCCAGCATTCCTCCCACGGAAGCCTTCTCAACTTGGTTAGCCAACCTACTATGTATTGTGTATCATCACAAATCACTGGTCCATCTATTCCAGCATCACTTGCTCCAGTTATCTGTAGCTCTTTAGGATAGAGGTTTCCAACCCTGGACCCCCAGTTGCTTTTGGACTATAACTCCCAGAACCCTTGATCACTGTTTTTGCTAGTTGGGAATTATGGGAGTTGTAGTTTTAAAACTAGAGTTCCACATTTTGGAAACACTCAGGAATAGTAGATTCTCTATCATCCATCATCTGGCCATTTAAATTGAAACTTCCCAGACTTCAATCTGGGCAGTAATAGAGCACCTGTTACTGAGAATTATGTTTTTCCTACTAGTGGAAGTTTGGGAGGGGAGTGAATACCAAGTCATGCATCTTTGCAGTGGTGGTGCCTTCACTGTAGAATACTTTCCCTGGAAAGGTCCATCTCTCCAGCTTGTAGCCTAAAACAGACATCTCTTACCTAATAGAGTTTGAATGTTTTGCAGTCTGACTCAGATGATAATCCCTGTCTGTTGCCCAGCAGGCTAATGGGAGCTGTTATTCAAAAGGAAGTTGGTGAAAGCTGCTTTAGAACTTTCAAAGCCTTCCCATTTAAGGAAGGCCTGTTTTATCTCCAAAGAAGTTATATATGTGTGTGTGTTTTGCTCAATGAATAGCTGATCCTTTGAATAATATCTGCTGAAATTGTTATGCTTCCTGATATTAAATACGATTGATGGATTTTTTTAAATGAATTTAATCAATTAAATGGGTCTCATTCTTTGTTGAACACTTTCTTACTCAATTTTGTATAGTTTATACATTTGTGAGCTTCTTTATCATTACAATATTTAATGTATCTTTTCCTGTAGTGCCATCTTGTACAGTACCCTATGCATCTGGGGCAGAGGTGGTCTTCATATAGCTTGTACCTAACGTAGCTTGTACCTCCTTGTTGTTTGGGGAAAATAATTAAGGGTTATAAAAGAATATTTATTTGGGATAAATTTAAGGTGGCTTGAAATTCTAGATGCATCGTGCTTAATTGGAAACCTTTGGGCCAAGAGTTGCTTTTAGTGCAGGAAAGAAATGATCGAGACCTTGGCGCACATCATTTTAGAACGGAGCTTATAAAGGAATGAAGATATTCAATATCTTGGTTCAATCATGAGTAAATGTACTGGTCTACCTCCTACAGGCTATCTGAAGTTTCTGTTGTCCGGTGAGAATCAAATAATATCACAGTTAGTGGCTACGTTTTTATTTCAGCTATGAGAATTTGCAAAACCCTATAGCAAGATTTTATACTATGTATTTATTCTATGTACATATTTATCTTTGTATAATCGGGTCTGTGACCGCATAGTAAAACTTAACTTTTTTTGAGTGCCTTTTTGCATCAAACCCAGCCTTCTCTGTAAATCCAAATATTGTTGTAGCAAAATGCCTGGAGGGTCATGTAACTCTCTATGGGATACCTTTTCTTCTCACAAACACGCCCCCATGGCTCAATAAAGGCTTTTTCTTCAGTTTCTTTTTCTCAGCCTCAGAGGGCACTTTGCAGGCTGCTTTTCCAGAATCGGAATCATGGGGCTCCTGCAGAAACACAATTGAAAACAGACCTTTTGTATGCTAACGGGATGGGGGGGGGAGGTGGAAGTATTACATATAAGCGGAACTTGAGAAATGCTGCTGTTTTAGGCTGTTAACATCTAGTGCAGTGATGGTGAACCTTTTTTGAGCCCAAGTGCCCAAACTGCAACACAAAATCAACTTATTTATTTCAAAGTGCCAATACTGCAATTAAAACCTGGATGCTGAGGTTTTAGTTTAAAAAAAACACAACTGCTCCTGCACTGCAAAGATTAAATGCTTGGTTGTTCCTTTTTCCAATGAGTGGTATTGACAAATAAATACTTACTGGCCCTCCAATCCCCCATTGGGCTAGACCAGTAATGGCCCCCATTGCACCCCTCCACTGAACCACTGCTACAGCAGAGGGGAGTGCCAAAATCCGGGATCAGAGGACGGGTAAATATTTCTCTATGGTGACTTATGGCTCGTGTGCCCACAGAGAGGGCTCTGTGTGCCAGCTGTGGCACGCGTGCCATAGGTTCGCCATCACTGGTCTAGTGTCTCCTAGCTTGCTTGACTACTGTTGACAATATCTAGAGTTCTGGGCCACAATTCTCACCGCTGTTTGTAAATGCCTTTGATTTCTCTTTGTTGCTCTGAATCTTGATTATGTCACTGATTCTTCCCATGGGTGACTTGCCCCAGTTTTGATGCAGATAGCTCTCCCCTTTGAATTACAGTGGAGGGAAGTGGTAGCCCAGAAAACCTCAGATGGGTGGAGAAGCATGTCATCCCTTTGTTAGTTTATGGAGAGCAAGAGTATTAATGTACTCCCCACACCTTCTTCTAGGCTACACAGTTCTCCAGTCCTTTGAAACAGAAAGGGAAGCTCTTTTCCCTCTCTTCCAGTCCACAAAGTTCTGGATGTCTAGTTGTGGTGGACAGGCTGGCCTCTGCACCTCCCACATCTCCTTCCCAGAATGAACTCCCCTGGTCTGCCATATGCATGGTGGCTACACCCCAGCAGCACAGAGAGGAAAGAGGAAACTTACCACTCGGCTGTATTGAGATTGACTATCCGGGCCCCGAATGGGGATGTGCACTTGAAGAGAAGCCTGGAGGGAGAACATTCTGGAAGCCACAGGATGTAAGGAGGTCAAGACGAGGCAGTCCAGGGGAGCTAAGCAACCGCCTGGTGAGGAGAGCCACCTGACCATCAAGAAAATGCGGGGTACCCATAGTGTAAAAGGCAGGGAGGCTGAGGCAGAGGAACTGGTGCCAACACATCTGGGAAGAGGAGGAAGATGCTGAGGAAGAGGTCCTGGAATTTGACACAGGCACCCAAGAAAGCCTTCAAGGCAACGGCCGTACATTGACTGAGGGAGGTCCTGCAGAGTTCCAAGCCTTGTGGGGACAGACCCCAGCAACTGAAGGTCGGAGCAGTCAGCCTCTGCAGTGGTGAGTGACAAAAGCAATGGACTTAACCCAGGGATGGTGCCATGAACCACTGTGGAACCTAAGGATGGGTAGTGGGTCCTAAGACTGTCTTGGCAGGTCCTTCTCCTTGGTCCTATTTGTGAAAGTCTGTGTTTTTTCTTAGACTCAGTTTTTGGCTCCCTAGTCCTGCGTCTCGGATCATGGGCCATTCCGGCATGCCCCCTAAGGAGGATTGGGGCACACTGGTGGGGGAAAAAAAACAAAACTGGAGGGTAGCATCTGGAGAGATGAATCTGCTTCCAATAGATTTTCTGGTGATACAGAACTTCAGATCTCAGCAGAGTGGGTTTTGTGAGCACCCTTCACATGAGGAACTGCTGCAGGACTGAGAGGGCATTGTTGAAAGGGCCTGCTGATGGTTAGCCAGGAAGAGTCTCCCTTTCTCTCCCCCCGCCCCCCAAAATAAAATGTGTCATGGTGGAGGATACCCACCACAGGGTTGGTGGTTGTGAGGATCTCAAGTGCCTCTTGCTGCTCTCGGAGCCTCTCTATCTCCTCCCGGTATTCGTCCACCTGGGCCTCCAGCTTCTCTCGCCGGAGCCGCTCGTACGCCAGCTGTGCTTCCAGCTCAACAAGGGACCTGTTGGAAGCCAAGTCAAGCTGGAGAAGATGCTGTGAAGACCGTTCCCTCCCTCCAAGCCGTGACTGACAGAGAAAAAGCCCAATCGGGTTCCTGCAAGTCAATACGGCTGTTTTGTTGCACACTTCAGTTGTGTTACTTTGGAGTTGGCTCAGCCGTTCACTGTGTGTCGTTCAGTCAAGAGGGGCGGATCATCCTGACAGATACAAGAACGGGTCAGCACCTAACTGGATATGATGCGATTATCTCATTTAGCACATTGTTTTGGATGTGGTTTTCTGAATAAAAAGCAGTCATACCGGACATATGTGTGTGTATATGTGGGTGTGCAGAGCTTGAAATTACATGAGGATCTTGGAAATAATGTGTTAATTTAACACGTTTACTTTCAAGCCATTAATTTTGCATTAAACAGAAGCCAGCTGATGCACTTGAAGAATAACCGATGCACTTGAAGTAGCTTCTTAAATGTTTAGCATTGCTTTTAAAATATTATTTTCTTAAGATGACATGCATTCCTCTTGTTCAATGTGGAAGTAATGATTTAAACATAGTTAAATATGTTCCAGTCTAAATCTCCCACCAACTAGGCTACATACTTTTTAATTTTTAAAAAAAACACATGCAAATATTACATACAGTATTCCTGTTTTCTGTATTTTCCTGGATGAGCTAAATAAAAAAATTGCCTTGAAGGAAAATCTAATGTAGTGAAATAGTGAAATGTATTATTTATGTGTTTAAAAAGTCTCCCTGCAAGTAGAGAATGAGATCTGGAGGGAAAAGGCAAGTTTTAACACATTTTCCCCTAAAAATCTATGATTTTTACTTTAGTTTTATTTATTTATTGTTTGCAGGGGGATTATATTCTTTACCGTGGAGGTTAGGTATTAGAAAATGGTATCCCAAGTTGGCAGACTTTATTACCCCCGAATTCTTCTAGCTTATTTTTCAGCCTGAAAATCTAGAAATTTGGAAAGTCAAGAACTAGGTGTTCATATAATTTGGGTTAGTCTAGCTTCATCCATTGTGTTTAAGGGTTGTCTCCATACCGAACCACCAGCAGGGGACAGCAAAATGACAACGTTTGCAAGAGCTAAGGCCGCTTCGGCATGATCCTGCTGAATGGGAGCCTCTTGGTATTGTCCTATTGTATCCTGACGGCATCTCTAAAACCCTGACCCCACCAGGTCAGGCTGTGTGCCTTAATGCCATAACTACCTGCCCCTACAGAATCCCCTACAGAAAGGGAACTCTAGATTCAGAGGGGGAAGAGAAATAGTAGTCAGAAATGTGACGCTCAAATGCTTCACCCAGTAATGACATGGGATATTAAGTAAAACTTGGAAGAGAAATAGTAGTCAGAAATGTGACGGGGTCAGAAGACCAAGTAGTCGTAAGAGCGAATCCACGCGACGGAGTGAGCACCCGTCGCTTGTCCCAGCTCCCGCCAACCTAGCGGTTCGAAAGCATGCAAATGCGAGTAGATAAATAGGGACCACTTCGGTGGGAAGGTAAACAGCGTTACGTGTCTAAGTCGCACTGGCCATGTGACCACGGAAGATTGTCTTCGGACAAAACGCTGGCTCTATGGCTTGGAAACGGGGATGAGCACTGCCCCCTAGAGTCGAACACGACTGGACAAAAATTGCCAAGGGGAACCTTTACCTTTACCTTGACAATACAAATCATTTGATGGTGCAACTGACTGCTTCATGGTCGAAGTGTTTCCTACCCATCAGGCATCATCCCTTTACTTTACCTTTACCTTTACCTTTACCTTGACAGTACAAATCATTTGATGGTGGAACTGACTGCTTCATGATTGAAGTGTTTCTTACCCATCAGGCATCACTGGAAGAGGGAATTTGTCCAGTGTGGAAAGACATGGGACTGTTAGAGCAGGAACCTCAGTTGACAAATTAGCTTACTGCTGTTTTGTGATTGGTTTTCTAACTTTACCTTTACCTTTACCTTTACCTTGACAGTACAAATCATTTGATGGTGGAACTGACTGCTTCATGATTGAAGTGTTTCTTACCCATCAGGCATCACTGGAAGAGGGAATTTGTCCAGTGTGGAAAGACATGGGACTGTTAGAGCAGGAACCTCAGTTGACAAATTAGCTTACTGCTGTTTTGTGATTGGTTTTCTAAGCCTCCAGAACAGTGGTTCCCAACCTTGCTTAACCCAGGTATTCTTGGACTACAAGTCCCAGAAACCCTGACCAACATAGTTGCCGGTGAAAGCTTTTGGGAAATGTAATCCAAGAACACCTGCATTGCCCAGAGTTGGGAACCACGGCTCGAGAACCGCATTGGCAAGTATGATTGTCCAGTCACAAACAGGACGCCCGATTCATGTCTCTAGAGCCGTGGTTCCCAACCTTGGGTCCCCAGATTTTCTCGGATGAAAACTCCCCGAAGCCTTCACCATGACCTGCGCTGGGCAGGATTTCTGAGAGTTCTAGTCCAAGAACATCTGGGGACCCAAAATCGGGAACCACACAGCTCTAGAGCATTGGCTGATTTCAACCTTCTATTTGTAACACATCGTTTTACCCTCTGGTTTTCTTTAGGTTTTTAAAACAAAAACTGGATGACCGGCTATCACGGATGTTGTAGCACCAAAGAAGCATCACCCCTTTGGAGGGACAGGGTTAGAGAAACAACATGCAGGCTACCCCATTTGCCTCTGGAAAGAGGAAGCAAAACTGCACTCTTGAGTCCCTCTCAGAAGGTATAGCAGCCCTTGAAGGATAAAAGAACCAAAGTTTCACTTTCACCTGCTTTCTAAAGCGTCAACAGGGCTGAAAAACTGGGGGGAGAAAGAATCGTCTCCTTTCCCTGCAAGACAGAGACCTTGCAAAGACTGACAACATTTGGGTGACACCAATTTTAAAAAAAAGCAACAACAACAACAGAGTCCATGGGAATTATGGGATTTCCCCCTGTCCATTGTTGTGGAGGAGGAGTGGGCAACACTCCAGATGCTATCTGACTGCAACAATCATCATCCCTCAACCCCAGCCTTGTTGGCTATAGGGCTAATGGCAAGTTGGAGTCCAGGAATCTCTGGAGGGCCACCAATGGTCTTTTATTGGTTTTGAGGAACATGCTCCAGCCTCCTTTACTTCTGGGCATCTGGGAGGGAAGGAAAGCCTGTGAGATGTTGCTACTACTCTACCCTTTTCCCACATCATCAAAGCTAAGGGCCTATAATGAGCTGGAATTTTTGTATGTATACATTACTGAAACAGCAATGTCTATGTTGGCTTGGGCATGTCGTGAGAATGGCTGAGGGTCAGATTCCAAAAGATCTCCTGTATGGAGAATGAATGCAGGGAAATCACCCCATAGGGAGACCACAGCTGCGATACAAGGACATCTGCAAGCGAGATCTGAAGGCCTTAGGAATGGACCTCAATAGATGGGAAACCCTGACCTCTGAGCATTCAGCCTGGAAGCAGGCAGTGCATCATGGCCTCTCCCAATTTGAAGAGACCCTTGTCCAGCAGGCCGAGGCAAAGAGGCAGTCCTGAAACCAGCAAAATCAGGGAGCTAGACAGGGAACAGATGGTATTTGCCTTCAGAGTAGAAGGGATGGTCACTCTCGAATTGGCCTCCTCAGCCACACTAGGTGCTGTTCCAAGTCTTCCATACAGAGCATGATACCATCACCTCTCAAGACTGAAAGATGCCTAACTATAACGTTGCACACAACTGTGCCAGGGATCAGGAACATCCAGATATTAGTTGGCCAAGTTGCCACGGACGGAAGCTGCAGTCCGACCGCATGTGCATAGCCATGCTCTCCTCTTCTCCCATTTCCCAATGCTCTTACTTGGCCAGCTGCCTCTCTTCTATTTTCGTCTGCCTCTCTTCAGGGGTTATTCCACCAAGCTGCTTATAATTGCTGATCGCAATTTCTAGGAGACCCCGCAGCTCTTCGATCTTCTGGTAAGCTCTTTCTGAAAAGGGGAAAAAAAACCAAGACAAGACTCTTCTAGCCTTTTTTAACAGCCCAGTCTGACTCAAAGCAGGAAAAGTCAAGATGCCGTAACCTCCCAAAGGGAATGGCTTTTAGAGAAAGGGTGAAAGAAAGTCTAGCTGCAGCTTTTATATAAGAACCCCAGTTCAGGGCTTCTATGCAGCAAAGGCAACCCTTGGAAAATGCATGCAGGCAACCCTTGGAAAATGCATGCAGTGCATGAGTTACAGAATATGAGATGGTTTGCCTTAGCAAGTGTGGTTTTGTCAACCCTAGCCAATTTAACTAGGAAGATGGGACACAAAATTGTCGTCGTCGTCCTGTGCTGTCAAGTCAATTGTTAATTTACCATGACCTTTTTCAGGGTTTTTCCAGTTGGAAAATGCATGCAGGCAACCCTTGGAAAATGCATGCAGTGCATGAGTTACAGAATATGAGATGGTTTGCCTTAGCAAGTGTGGTTTTGTCAACCCTAGCCAATTTAACTAGGAAGATGGGACACAAAATTGTCGTCGTCGTCCTGTGCTGTCAAGTCAATTGTTAATTTACCATGACCTTTTTCAGGGTTTTTCCAGTTAGAGAATAGTCGTCCTGTGCTGTCAAGTCAATTGTTAACTTACCATGACCTTTTCCAGGGTTTTTCCAGGTAGAGAATATTCAGAAGCGGCTTGCCATTCCCGTCTTCTGGGGACATCCTGGGACTGCGTAGCTTATCCTAGGCTACACAAGCTGGTTTTTCTCCCAGAGGGGGAATCAAACTCCCAACCTCTGGCTGCCCAGCCAGATACCTAAGGCATTGAGCTATCCAGCCAACTTGATGGGAAACTGGCAGGCAGCAATGCCTGGCTGGCTTTGTAACAACAGCCTGATCCCTCCTCCTGTTGTCCAGATTCAAGGTTAAAGGTATGACACTCAAAAGTCCTCAGATCAATATATGATTTAGAACGCAAAAGTGACACAAACACTCTGACTGTGGCACAGCGGGTACCATTACTCTCCATCCAGAGAGCCCCAGACTCCGTCTCCAGGTTATACAGAGCTGTAACTAGAACAAGGGTTGCGGGGTTTTGCAAGGGCACCATGATTTAGAAGGTGCCGGAATCTGGAGACGAACCTATGAGTGAATATTAGGGAAAGAAACGCCGTCATACCACAACCTATTCACTTTCCTTTTTTAAATAAGCATTTTCTTTTTCTTTTTTTTGGGGGGGGACAAGAGCAGCAGTCTCTTTTCCCCCTTCTTCAGGGGTGGGGGTGGGGTAATGGCCATGCCTCCAGACAGAGTTGGGGGTCAGAGGATGCTATGTTGCCCTCCCCCCTCCCCCGATGACAAATTTGCTAGTCACCACTGTGGTTGAAAGTTCTCACACAAAGGGTGTGGAAAATCCCTTTGCCTTTGTAGGAACATGGCCAGTAAGGGTGGCCAGTGTATGGTCCTCTGGATGTTGCTGGACTACATCTCCCATCATCCCTCACCGTTCTGTCTTGAGATGGGGAAGGCCAGCCATCTTGCCTACATTTGTTGCATACCTTATTGGGCTGTATTGGGATGGGCAAAATATACTCTTCCCCCCCAACGAAGCTCCCCAGAACCTCTACAATTCCCACCAGTCGGCTGTATTGGGATGGGCAAAATATACTCTCCCCCCCCCCACGAAGCTCCCCAGAACCTCCACAGTTCCCACCAGTCCTAGCCAGAGACAGAGAGAGAGAAGAAGTTTGTTATACAACTCACCACGACTGTCTTTCTGGTCCTGCTTCTCTACCTTCAGATCACTTTTGCAGTCTGTGCTCCCTTCCACGCCGTGTCTTTCAAAGAACCGTGAGTCCTGTACCTCAATTTCCTCATCGGAGTCATTCCCCATCTTGTTTCTTAAGTATTCCACAACAGCCAATTGAGCAAACCTACAAGTGCGGACACCCATTAAAAGAATGAACGAAGACCACCGAGGGGCTTGGTTTGCTGATAGCAAACCTGTGCTTTCTCGTCCAGTGGCAGCCGCAACAGGGAAACCTGCTCAGTAGAATAACAATAATAAATAATAATCTTAGAACTGTAGAGCTGGAAGGGATCCTATGGATTATGGAATCCAGTTCCAGAGGGGTTGAAGTCAAGAGTCTCAGACTCAGCCTGGAGATAGTGGGCTTTAATCTAGAACGTTCTACATGCAAACCATGTGCTTCACTATTGAGCAAGGGTTTTTTTCCCCATAAAATAGGGCAGTGCTACCTCAACTATATGCCCCCTCTTTTCCAGGATTGTCTAGCTGCCATGATCTCTCAACAGTTTTAGGATGGCAGGATAGTCCATAATCTGCCAATAGACCCCTTTAACTAGAGCGTCCAACAACCGGTGGCTTCTGTATTGTTTGTTTTGAATGTGTGTTGTCTAGCATGGAATGGGGGTCCCTATTTCTAGAATCTGTAATTTTCAAAAACTCTATTCCTGAGAAATATAAAGCTCTTCAGGAGTGGCTTGGGAAGTTCCTTGATGAGATACACCAGGGTGGTGGAGGTAGGTGAAATGTTGAATATTTTCTCTTAGAGCTGCCTTGGGTTCTTTTGAGGAGAAAGGCAGGATAGATGTGTTTTAAATAAATAAATAAGTAGTTTATAGAGCAATAGTGTGGCCACATGTCCTCCTTTTGGGAGGGCAGTCCTGTTTCTGAATGGCTATCAGAGAACAGCCTTTGTTTTGCAGCACTTCTCAGTTTTAAGGGCTGCCCGGTCCATCTCTGATTTTATCTTTAAGAACGATAAGATAGAAGATGACAGATACTGAATTTGCCCATCACCACTTGGATACCAGATTTACTAGATGGACAGATCACCAGGTTATACCACAGCCTTCCCTGCTCTAGGTAAAGGTAAAGGTTCCCCTTGACATTTAGTCCAGTCGTGTCCGACTCTAGGGCGCAGTGCTCATCCCTGTTTCCAAGCCGTTAGAGCCAGTGTTCATCTGAAGACAGTTTCCATCATCACGTGGCCAGTGCAACTAGACACAGAATGCCATTACAGTACCTTCCCACCGTGGTAGTACCTATTTATCTACTTGCATTTGCATGCTTTTGAACTGCTAGGTTGGCAGGAGCTGGGAGATACAAGCATGTCTCCAGACCTAAACCCTATTGAGCATCTGTGGGGCATCCGGAAACAGAAGGTGGAGTGTGCAAGGTCTCTAACATCCACCAGCTTTGTGATGTTATCATGGTGAAGTGGAAGAGGACTCCAGTGGCAACCTGTGAAGCTCTGGTGAAGTCTATGCCCAAGAGGGCTAAGGCAGTGCTGAAAAATAAGGGGCCACACAAAATATTGACATTTTGTGCCTAATTTGGATACTGACACTTTGTGCCTAATTTGGACATCTGAGTCTTGTGACACTAACGGGTCTCAGGACACCAGGGAGGGAAGACAGCTACCTGGGCCCAATTTAGACATTGTCACTTAGGGGTGTACTCACTTTTGTTGCCAGCAGTTTAGACATTAATGGCTGTGTGTTGTGTTATTTTGAAGGGACAATACATTCACACTGTTATGCAAGCTTTGCATTGCTTTACATTGTAGCCAAGTGTCATTTCGTCAGTGTTGTCACATGAAAAGATATACTAAAATATTTATGAAATGCGAGGGGGTGTACTCACTTCTGTGATATACTGTATATGCATGAAGGGTGAAAGCCTCTACTTTCCAGGAGATGGGAACCAGCCTTACATTTTGCTATTTGTTCAGTTGAGGATCCTGACTTTTATCTATATGTCATAAACAGTTTAGGACCAGAAAAGCTTTTAAAAAACCCACCTGCTCCCATATGAGCCTGCCCAGAATTTGAGATCTTCAAGAAACCCCATTTTGCATTACCTCTCTCCAAAAAGTTAGGTTGATGAGCACATGAGACAGAGCTTTCCCCATAAGACTACCTAATTTCCAGCATTTTCTCTCTAACAAAGACATATTCTGACTTATGTTGCATTCAACAATCAAAACTAAATGTTTTTCAGTCATAGATTTCAACACTTGCTGTTTTAAATAGCATTTTGTTTATGTTCTCTGTTTATACTGTAATTTTTATTGAACATGGTTTGGGGGGCCCTTTTGGGAAGAAAAGTTATTTATAAATCCAATAAATAAATAAATATAATTGTTGCTTTGTGATGTATGCATGTACCGGTATGTGTAGATGGATGGATGGATGGATGGATGGATGGATGGATGGATGGATTCATTCATTCATTCATTCATTCAGACAGACAGACAGACAGACAGACAGACAGACAGACAGACAGACAGACAGACAGACAGACAGACAGACAGACAGACAGACAGACAGACAGACAGACAGACAGACAGACAGACAGACAGACAGACAGACAGACAGACAGACAGACAGACAGACATTTTCAACCTCTGGAGTGCAGATTTAAATGCGCATCTGCCTTTTCCAGAACTGAAACCCAGTGGGATTACGTCCTGGTTGGAAAAGTATGGTCACCTCTTAGCAATGTCTTTTGGTGTCTCTCCAGCTTCGTTGGCGATGTTACAGTCCGCTTCCCTCTCAATCAGCCACTCCAGAACGTGCAAATGGCCTTGTCCGGCAGCTGGCGTGAGGAGAAAAAAAAACATGCACGCACATACGTGTCTTTTAAATAAGATTTATTCCTAGAAATCAGCTCGACTCTTTAGAATACAATAATGAGATTAAAGGTTATATCAATCACTATAATATCAAACACCTGGCTGAATAGCTCAGTGGTTTAGGTATTCTGGCTGTGGAGGCCAGTGGTTGGGTGCTCGATTTCCCACTATGCAAGTAGAGCCATCTTTTGCCTCAGTGGTTTAAGTATTCTGGCTGTGGAGGCCAGTGGCTGGGTGCTCGATTTCCCACTGTGCAAGTAGAGCCACCCTTTGTGGCCTTGGGCAGGTTGCGCAATCCCAGAAGAAGGGAATGATAAGCCACGTGTTATCCTTGTCTACCTGGAATACCTTGAAAAGGGTTGCCATAAGTTGGAATTGACTTCTTGGATGATGATGATGATGATGATGATGATGATGATGATGATGATGATGATGATGATTACAAACAAAAACAACCAATGTGGCACCTTCCAGGCTAAAAGATTTATTTCAGTAGGAGGTTTTCATGGATTAGTGTCCATGTCTTCAGACATAAAAGTGGGTTGTTTCTTTAAGGGTGGATTACAAATGAAAGCTCATACTGAGATAAATCTATTCGTTTTTAAAGTGCCATAATATTTTACCTTTCGCTTTGGGTTCCCCCCCCCCTTAAATGGACGAATGCAAACTATCTGTAATCAAACAGAGGTTAGGTTGGCCAGCGGTGAGGATGATCTGAGGTTACGGCCAGTGTTCGATACAGAATTTGGTTTAAGTTACACTGTGAAGCTTAAGCCATAGTTCAGCACAAAATGTTCAAGTGGCAACACTTCCTATGAACAAGAGATCAAGGCAGACTAAGTAGACTTCACAAACACACCTTTTGCGCATCATTGCCTGCTCCTTTTTAATACCTTAAAAACACATATGGATAGACTTTCTGCTAAAATAAATGAAATGAAATAAAAACTGCACTCCAGTTTTTTTCACATGATGCATGTTATTTCTCTAAGTTTGCATAATTTATTCTGCATGTTTCATGGGTCTGCTTTGAACCCTGGAAGGTAAATTAGGCTGAGATATGGTGATTGATTCAAGATCTGACTCAAGAGTATCATAGCTAACAAAGAATTTGAACCGAGGACTTTCTAACCACCGCACTGCCCAGACATTTGAAGACTGTATATCTGTGCACATGTCCAGAGCTTGGATGTGTCTGGAAAGTAAAGCAGTTACCTGTAATTATTTACTTTAGGGGCAACAAGTAAATAGTAGTCACAACATTATTTTTGTTTAAGTTGCTTAAGTATAACGAGTAACCCTAGTTAGTTTGAAAGTTACTTTTACAAGAATTTGAAGGCATTTTGTGGTTAATCTATGAAAATTGGCAAAGTAAAGCTTTTTGTGTCATCTTTAGTCTTTTTGCAAATATCTGCATGGACAGTATTAGAAATGGCCACTAGGGGGAACCAGTTAAGGTATTTCTCTGACCTTTATGCAACAATGTGGATCCCTTATCGTCCCGTTCGTTGACGTTGATGATTCTGTTCTCCAGCAATGTTCTTAATGAGTCCAAATCCCCTCTGAATGCTGCCTCGTGACCTGGAAATGTTAAATCTATGCAGAGAAAGAAAATAAAAGGGGATCCATGAGCTATAATACCACCACCACAGTGAAAAAAAAAATAAAGAGTTCTGCTAAATTGGAAAGAAATAGTCAAGGAACAACATATTCCAGATTGCCCATCAAGAAAGGTCTACATTCTCTAAGGTGCACAAATTAGTAAACTCATTGGTTTCCACCAGGAGTGGGTAATTTGGTTGATCTTCCTACACAGGATATGTTTTGTGTAGCTCTTGGATGCAGACGAAGAGCAGAATTATCCACTCCAAGAGAAGGTTGCTTGTTGCTTCTTGATATGAGTCCCTGTTGAATATTTTCTCTTCCTTTGCACACATTTTTGGTAGCTTTCACTCTTTTGTACAAATTGAATCCATAAAGTAAACTAAATCTGATCCTCCCAAGGAGAGGCAGTGCCCCTAAACCAGAGGAAACTATATTCAGCCACCAATCTCTACCTTCAAAGATGCTTCAGCCTGCTTTTACCTTGTTAACAGCCTTTTTTTTAAAGCCAAGATATAAGGGAATGCTGGCTGGATAGCTGAGGGTACAGTTCTGTTACCAAAAAAAGAGTGGGTTTGAATTGGGTATAGCTTGTTTTAAATTGGTGTGGAAGTATCTGGTTGCAGAGTCAGCAGTTGGGAGTTAGATTCCCTACTGTGCCTCCAGGGAGAACAGCCAGCCTGGGTGGCCTTGGGCAAGCTGTACAGTATTCCCAGGGCACCCTAGAAATAGGAAATGGTAAATCGTTGTTGTGGGTTTTTCAGGCTCTTTGGCCATGTTCTGAAGGTTGTTCTTCCTAAAGTTTCGCCAGTCTCTGTGGCTGGCATTTTCAGATGACAGGAGTGGCACTCTGTGCTCTGGTGCAGTTTGTTTGGGAGTAGAGTATGTATAGCTGTGGGATCAGCTTTTGTCCTTTTCAGGAGATGGTTGATTGTGGTGATCATTTTTTTGTGGGTGCATTTGTACTTGGAAAGCCCTGAAAAGGGTCACCAGAAGTCAGAATTGACTTGATGGTACACAATTGTTATTATTAAGGGTGTACCTTTTAGACATAACAAAAATAGTAAGCGTATGCCATGATGTCATTTGGCCATGTTCTGAAGGTTGTTCTTCCTAAAGTTTCGCCAGTCTCTGTGGCTGGCATTTTCAGATGACAGGAGTGGCACTCTGTGCTCTGGTGCATTTTGTTTGGGAGTAGAGTATGTATAGCTGTGGGATCAGCTTTTGTCCTTTTCAGGAGATGGGTGATTGTGGTGATCATTTTTTTGTGGGTGTAGTTGTACTTGGAAAGCCCTGAAAAGGGTCACCTGAAGTCAGAATTGACTTGATGGTACACAATTGTTATTATTAAGGGTGTACATTTTAAACATAACTAAAATAGTAAGCGTATGCCATGATGTCAGTGAATACTCACCTCCCTCCTTTTGCCAGGGGTCTTTCTCCTTCTGAAGATCATCAATGTACTCAACGATGCAAGTCTTGTAGAATCTTTCTGCAAGGTCCCTTGGGGTTTCCCCATGATCGTTCCTGGCTTTCAAGGCATGGACCAAAGTGGGCATCTTGCTTACTAAGTACTTAAAGCAGTGCAAATGGCCCTCCATGGCTGCCAGATGAACTGTATAGCACACGAACAACAAGGAACCCAGCATTAGAGGGAAACCACACTGGAAAATGCCAGCGGTGTCATGGGAATGGCAGGTCAGCATCATCCCTTTCCAGGAGAATCCAGGGGTGGGCCATTGTGATGTCGCAGAGGGGAGGGGAGGCAAGGTTTGGGCACAAGAATGAAAAAGCTTCTGGGCTGGCTGATTTGGGGAATGAGGCAAGAGGCAGATTGATCCCTGTCTTACTTCAAATGCCATAATGGCCACAAGGGCAGGCAGGGACCCAAGGATCCTCTGCCAATCCCTTCCTCACACTCCCACCTGGCACCAACGTTGGGCGGTCATTGTACACATACAAATAGCTTCACCCTGAGCCAGTAACAACTGCTAACAGTCAGGACCAGGGAAAGACACAGGCAATTTTTTTGGCTACTCCTCCCCAAATTCCATCCATTTTAAATCTCCATTCTAAAGGAAATCAACCCTGAGTGCTCACTGGAAGGACAGATCCTGAAGCTGAGGCTCCAATACTTTGGCCATCTCATGAGAAGACTCCCTGGAAAAGACCCTGATGTTGGGAAAGTGTGAGGGCAAGAGGAGAAGGGGATGACAGAGGATGAGATGGTTGGACAATGTCACTGAAGCTACCAACATGAACTTGACCCAACTCCGGGAGGCAGTGGAAGACAGGAGGGCCTGGCGTGCTCTGGTCCATGGGGTCACGAAGAGTCCGACGCGACTTAATGACTAAACAACAACCACCCCATAATTACTCAGCTCCAAGGACTAGGACTCCCAGGGCAGACACTATTCACACATCCAGCTGAAGAATGACCAGGATTAGCAGGTGGATGGCATCAAGGGGAAGGAGGCCAGTGACAATGGCCATCTTAGGCAGTCAAGGGTTTGTTTGTTTGTTTATTCAGTCGTTTAGTCGTGTCCGACTCTTCGTGACCCCATGGACCAGAGCACGCCGGGCCTCCTATCTTCCACTGCCTCCCGGAGTAGTGTCAAATTCATGTTGGTTGCTTCGATGACACTGTCCAACCATCTCATCCTCGGTCGTCCCCTTCTCCTCTTGCCTTCACACTTTCCCAACATCAAAGTCTTTTCCAAGGAGTCT